TTTTATTTATACAGTATTTTCTTTACTATTTGGGTTTGTTGAATGGAACTGTATATCCCCCATTTATGATAATGATAAAATGAGTAATGTTTAAAACCATAATGATGCTTTTAGGTATCTAAACTTATGTATATATCTTTAATTTTAAGGAGAATAATTTCCGTAAAAAAAAAGAGCTAAAGATGTTCGGGTTTCATGTCACCCAACACGGTAAAGAAAAAAAAGAAAAAGAAATAAAGAAAATAGTCATGTTTGTAATTCATTGGTTAAAATGTATTCATGATTGCATGTTTATATATTTCACTTCTTCTGTAATGTATTCATTTTATTGTTCATGAAAAATATCTGTGGGAGTAGATAAGTCTCCAATTGGTTTCAAAACATGATTATTTTTTGCTCTAAATATTATTATCTTTTAATGCTTTTTAGTTTATATTCTTGAAGAGCATTCACTTTTTTCCTCTTCTTTTTTTTGCACACTTGTTTGCAAATGCTTAATCATCAGCAATAATGACTGTAATGACTGAATATATACACCGTCAGTATTAAAAAAGAGAACTTTAGCTGTAAGTTCATACGTTTTATGAACAGATTAATATTACCACATTTCTTTTTTTCTCTCTTTCTTTTTTTTATTTCTAAATTAGTGGATATGATCTAATGAATTGTCATGTAGTGCAGGAGGCAGAGGTTTGAGATGTATCGTAGTAAGCATTTATATATTTATATATTTAAATAGAATGTGTGGAACTTTGTTACTAGTATTAGGGGGATATTTCACACTGGCAGTATTGCAGGCTGCTGGGACTTGCGTATGAAATTCTTGACTTGTAGGCAGTTGCTGTCGAGAAATCAGAGACTCCTTTGTGAATTTCTGGGTTGAAAAGAAGAAATCATAATTAGGTGTTAGTCTCTATTTATATAAGGTACTTCTGTTTCATTTTTTTGCTATGATATGTGTTGTGCTATTAGCATTATTATCATTGGTATTACTATTGTTTATTATTAATATCATTGATTATTTTAGAGGTATTATTTATTTAATCTTTTTTTTTTTTTTTTTTTTAATAAGGAAGGGTGTAGGTAAGGTAGATTTTGTTGGAAGGTGTTATTTCCAACCCGTGCTTCTTCCTGTGTATATATACGTAAAATTACGAAGTTGTAGTTTTGTTGACGAACAGCATGATGTGTATAATTCTGTTCTGTAGACTGTGATTAGGGTTTCCTTATTGATTGTCAAGTGTATGAGGGTTTGCAGTACTGTTGGGCTCTGTCTTGTAATGTAAGCTTTTTTTTTTCTCTCTCTCTTTTTTTTATTTCTAAATTAGTGGATATGATCTAATGAATTGTCATGTAGTGCAGGAGGCAGAGGTTTGAGATGTATCGTAGTAAGCATTTATATATTTATATATTTAAATAGAATGTGTGGAACTTTGTTACTAGTATTAGGGGGATATTTCACATTGGCAGTATTGCAGGCTGCTGGGACTTGCGTATGAAATTCTTGACTTGTAGGCAGTTGCTGTCGAGAAATCAGAGACTCCTTTGTGAATTTCTGGGTTGAAAAGAAGGAATCATAATTAGGTGTTAGTCTCTATTTATATAAGGTACTTCTGTTTCATTTTTTTGCTATGATATGTGTTGTGCTATTAGCATTATTATCATTGGTATTACTATTGTTTATTATTAATATCATTGATTATTTTAGAGGTATTATTTATTTAATCTTTTTTTTTTTTTTTTTTTTTTTTTTTATATATATATACTAAGGTAGTTGTTTTAAAACTCCACTCTTCTTTGTCAAAGCTACTTACCCTAGCACTTAAATATAATAATGATAAAGGTTACATAACTGCCAAAATTTCTCAGATGTTAAATGTTTAATATTAACTCTCCTGTTGTAGTAAGCAGGGTTTAGATTAGCCTGTAGATAGTTCATATAACAGACAGAGCATCTTCACACTTTTCTTAACTTGTGTCTTGAATTTTGACCGGAGTAAATATATTAGCTATTTCATTGCAGTTTACTGGTACTATTGTTTATCCTTTTAAATCCTGTGTTTTCAGAATTGGCATGTTTTATTGAATTTTGGATATTTATACAATTGGTATGATTTATTATTATCGAATTATTATTATTATTTTTTTTTATATATATATACTAAGGTAGTTGTTTTAAAACTCCACTCTTCTTTGTCAAAGCTACTTACCCTAGCACTTAAATATAATAATGATAAAGGTTACATAACTGCCAAAATTTCTCAGATGTTAAATGTTTAATATTAACTCTCCTGTTGTAGTAAGCAGGGTTTAGATTAGCCTGTAGATAGTTCATATAACAGACAGAGCATCTTCACACTTTTCTTAACTTGTGTCTTGAATTTTGACCGGAGTAAATATATTAGCTATTTCATTGCAGTTTACTGGTACTATTGTTTATCCTTTTAAATCCTGTGTTTTCAGAATTGGCTTGTTTTATTGAATTTTGGATATTTATACAATTGGTATGATTTATTATTATCGAATTATTATTATTATTATTATTATTATTATTATTATTATTATTATTATTATTATTATTATTATTATTATTATTATTATTATTATTATTATTATTATTATTATTATTATTATTATTATTATTATTATTATTATTATTATTATTATTATTATTATTATTATTATTATTATTATTATTATTATTTTTTTTTATATATATATACTAAGGTAGTTGTTTTAAAACTCCACTCTTCTTTGTCAAAGCTACTTACCCTAGCACTTAAATATAATAATGATAAAGGTTACATAACTGCCAAAATTTCTCAGATGTTAAATGTTTAATATTAACTCTCCTGTTGTAGTAAGCAGGGTTTAGATTAGCCTGTAGATAGTTCATATAACAGACAGAGCATCTTCACACTTTTCTTAACTTGTGTCTTGAATTTTGACCGGAGTAAATATATTAGCTATTTCATTGCAGTTTACTGGTACTATTGTTTATCCTTTTAAATCCTGTGTTTTCAGAATTGGCTTGTTTTATTGAATTTTGGATATTTATACAATTGGTATGATTTATTATTATCGAATTATTATTATTATTATTATTATTATTATTATTATTATTATTATTATTATTATTATTATTATTATTATTATTATTATTATTATTATTATTTTTTTTTATATATATATACTAAGGTAGTTGTTTTAAAACTCCACTCTTCTTTGTCAAAGCTACTTACCCTAGCACTTAAATATAATAATGATAAAGGTTACATAACTGCCAAAATTTCTCAGATGTTAAATGTTTAATATTAACTCTCCTGTTGTAGTAAGCAGGGTTTAGATTAGCCTGTAGATAGTTCATATAACAGACAGAGCATCTTCACACTTTTCTTAACTTGTGTCTTGAATTTTGACCGGAGTAAATATATTAGCTATTTCATTGCAGTTTACTGGTACTATTGTTTATCCTTTTAAATCCTGTGTTTTCAGAATTGGCATGTTTTATTGAATTTTGGATATTTATACAATTGGTATGATTTATTATTATCGAATTATTATTATTATTATTATTATTTATTGTTTTTATTTCTATTTTGAGAATTGTTATTATTATTCTCAACCTTATAATGAAGGCCTTTTGAAATTCACCATCATTTCAGTCGATTGATATGTTGATATTATTAATAAAAAAAAGAAAAAAAAGAAAAGAAAAAAAAAAACACTTTCATATAGCTGGCATCTTATCACAAAAACATCATCCTCTTCTGTAATAAAAGCTGAAAAAAGTAAAAAAAAAATATATAATAATAAAAATAATTGAAATAGAATTTAAAAAAAAAAATGCATTTATTGATTCTGTTCATCTCAGGCAGACGTGACGCTACTTCATCTGTCTTTCATTCTTTCGGGAGGATTACAGGGTTTTGATGGCCTTACTCAGAGGAAGAAATTCTCTTTGCTCTTGCCTTTCCCCTCTTTCCCCTCACTTGTCCTTCATGCGTTTTCTCTCAGTATTTTTATCTTTTTCTGGTTCTTCTTTCTCTTCGAATGGCTGTCTTCCTCTTTCTGCTCTTCTCTATCCTTTCTCTTTCTTGGACTTTCCTTCTCATTCTCTCTCTCTCGTTCTCTCTTTCTCAGACTTGGTTTCATTTTTTCTCTCTTATTCTCTCTTTCTCAGACCTGCTTTCATTCTTTCACTCTCATTCTCCCTCTCTTATTGTTCAATCAGTTTCTCGCTAGAATGGTGGAGTTACGATAATGTCCTTTACCTTCTTTTCTTCGGTTATGTCTATATCTTTTGACAAGGAAGATATCTGCTCGTCATACTGCATGTCGGTAGCTTGGTTAACCTAACTGCCTAAACCTCT